GCAGCCTGAGGACTGCTGTCCTACACACCATGGAGTCACCAGGGCAGGTGCAGCCTGTGGACTTCTGTCCTACACAGCTTGGGATCTCTAGGGAGTTCTAGGCTGAGGACTGCTATGAGGATAGGGTCTTCTTGATTGAGGACAGTGTCTCCCTACTTGGGGACAGGGCCTCCCTGGGCAGAGAGGTATGGATGAGTTGACCTTTTGGGACACAGACCCTTTACGGATGTTTGTGTGTTAGAAGTTTGGCATTTTCTTGAGTGGTTAGCCTTCCTGCCATGAGGGCCCATTGTGGCAAGACCATGGAGGACTAGGCTGGTTGAGGGCCATTTTCTTGGGAGGATGGATCATGCTGGCTATAGCACTGTGGAGGTCCACTGCCCAGCTGCCCGCTGCCCTGCCCTCTGCACTTCTGGGTTTGCTAGTGTGAAATGGTCTTCCTTTCCTATTGATCCCTCCAGTGTCTGTCAGAACCAAACTGGATGAATGAATTGGGCTCCTCCCGGGGGCTGGCTCTTGCCCTCCACCGGACACTCTCCCACCCTTCAGAGGGCCCCAGTCAGTGGGCTGAGTCCCCAAATATTCCATGATTAGGCTTGCCCAGTGGAGAAGACCCTGAGAATCTCAGCTTGGATCACCCCCTCCGGAGGCCTCCTAGCCCAGCATTGTCTCTGCCCCTGCACCCCCGGGTATCCCTGCACCCTGGGCACCCCTGCACCCCGGGTATCCTTGCACCCCGGGTATCCCTGCACCCTGGGTACCCCTGCACCCCTGGGTACCCCTGCACCCCGGGTACCCCTGCACCCGGGTATCCCTGCACCATGGGTACCCCTGCACCCCAGATACCCCTGTACCCCAGGTATCCCTGCATCCCGGGTACCCCTGCACCCCGGGTAACCCTGCACCCCAGATACCTCTGTACCCTGGGTACCCCTGCACCCCGGGTACCCCTGCACCCTGGGTATCCCTATGGGAATTCTGAGTCCCAGGGGGAGCCTCAGCTGTAGGGAGGCATAGGGAGGCAGGAGGTCCCCCTCCCCACTGTGTCTCCCTGGACATCTCTCCAGGGGACTTCTTGCACTTCCCTGCCTTCTGGCAGTCAGAGATCAGATGCGCTGCCCTGCAGGGCCCTGCCTGCCATGGCCCACAGACATCTGTCCTCCCCTGGCCTGCACATCCCCCTGTCCCTTGTGGGGCACTCGGGGACTGAGGTCTTCCTTTGAGGGGTTGTGCTTCTGCTTCTTGTTTTGTGCAGAGCTTGTGGGGATTTGCTTTGGGGCCCCACAGTCAAGCTGGGCAGGACCCAGGCCCCCCAGGCAGAGCCTGGCCCCCTAGGCTCCAATGCAGAGTCAGAACTAAGTGCCAGCCACCGAGCACATCCTGGCCTGTCCTTTAATGAATAAGCAGTGGAGGAGTGTAAACTTTGTGGTAGGTCGAGTCCAGTGCAGCAGCCCCTCTTGGATGGTGTTTCCTAGGACTGAAAGCAGAGCCGTGTGGGGAAGCCTGCCACCAGGGGGCGCTGTTGGCCAGCCGAGACCTGCAGGACTGCAGGACCTGGTGCAAACAGAGGGGCTGCTTCCTGAAGGTGACAGGACAGGACTGACTGAGGACGACCTGCAGCAGCCAACACCTGTCCTGGCTGCCAGAAGACGCACCTCGTCTCCTTACCCACCAAGGGACATGGGGCCCACCAGTGCAGGCAGGATGCGCTAGAAGGGCCTGGGTCGAGGCCTGCTCCCTAAAGGCTACTCACGGCACAGTGAGGGACCCAGGCTGCTCACTGCTTGCAGGCCCCACAGTCTGTGTGGCCTTTTCCCAAGGGTGGGACTGCTCGGAGCCTGGACCAGGAATAAGGGTCAGTTTTCAGGAACTCCACGTGCCTGAGGTGAGATGGAGGAGGGCTGTACCCTGCAGCACCCTGCTTGGCCTGCCTGGGGCTTGGGCTTGGGTTATGAGGACCTCCCTGAGCACTGAGCCCCTTGGAGCCATGAGTCAGGAAAGCTGGGGATGCTGGGGAGCGGGGGACGGGCATGCTGACCACTGCCCAAGGGGGGTCCCTCTCTCCTCTGCCAAGTTGAGCGCATACTGCTCCCCAGTGCAGCACTGGGGTCCCCGTCCTCCAGTTCCGTCAGGGCTACTCCAGGCAATTGTCACAGGAGGATGTCAGGCTGCTGGGCGGCTTCCCCCACTGCAGGGTCAGGTACCATCACCTGGCCCCTCAGCAGTTCTGAGTGTGGTCACCGACAGTCCCTGACCACATGGCCTGCGAGGCTGAGCCACACTCCTGCCCCTTTCCACACCTCAGAGAAAGTGTGTCCAGCCAACTTACCCTGTGTCTTTTGAAGTAGGACATGGCGCCCAGTGTCCAGGGCTTCGGCCGATGGTCTCAGGGCTGCACTCTGGGGGAGGGTTGGGAGCCTCTGGCATCACCGCTTCCTCTCACCCTCCTTCTCAGCTCTGGCCCATGCCGAGAGAGTCCCTGGGAGCCGGGTCCGAGGGGTCCTGGGAAGGGCACAGGGTGTGACCACCGGTGCTCTCCCCACCCGGCCCTCCCTCTTCTCCAGGAGCTAAGTACCTTCTCCAGGGCTGCTGCACACCCCTTCGCCTTCCTTTTGGTGGGGTAAGGGATACAGCACACCCAGCTGGTCCTGGTCCTAGAGGCCAAAAGTAGGGTGTTGTGGAAAGAAAAGACCCTGCCTGGCCCTGCCGGGCACGGCGGGTGCTCCAGCCTGCTCCCCACTTGGACCGTGCTCACTCCACCCCCCAGGGCACTCTGTCCACAGCCTGGAGGCTATGGCAGAAGCAGACCCCAGCAGAGCCAGTCTGCTACCCTGTCCTCCAGCTAGCCCCAGGTCTCCTGTTCTCTGCCAGAGGGAACCTTCAATATGAGAGATCAGGGAGGAGCTAAGCCTGCCCAGGGGCCCCAAAGCCAGGAGGCCAGAAGGGAGCCACTTGGAAAATGGCAGCCAGCCCTTTCCCCTGCAGCCAGGCAGCAGCCCCCCCTTTCCCTCCGCAGGAGCCCTGGACTCAGAGCCAAACACACGGGGGTTTAATCCCATCATCTCAGTAGGGTAGGGTCAGAGGGAAATAGGGTGCTTGCTCTCAGTCCCTTCAGTCTAATGAATGCTTGACCGCTGCGTGCACCCACGTGAGGGGCACTGGGGGTCCAGTGTGCCCTGCAGAGAGGACAAGCCCTGCCCTCCTCCCCGTGCAAGCCCACAGGCCCTCACTCACTCGTCTTCTGACAAGTCCCCGATGTCCATCTCGCCCCACTTCTCTTCTCTCACAGCACAGGTGGTCACCTGTGGGAGAGGCAGGCAGGTTCAGAGGGCTGGGGTGTCCACCGGTGGGGTCTGCCAGGACTAGGCCAGGGGAGGTGGGTCCCAGAGGCCACGGCTCCAGCACCCTCCACCTGACAGGGATCCCAACTGGTGCAACTCTGCTGCTGGCTGAACCCCCTGGAATCCCTGGAACCCAGGGGGCCCCAGGAGGAGGGTGTGATCTGAGGGAAAGAGTGCCCCAGGGAGAAGAACCAACTCTCAGACAGAACTGAAACTCTCCAGAAGAGAACTTCAAGAAACTCGGAAAATGGTGACTGCTGGCCAGAGCAGAGAACTGAACCCTCGTGTTGCAAGGCCCTAGACGAGCCTCATGTCAACTTCGTCTTTTTACTATGGTGGTGACAATGTGATGATGCTGACAATGGGAATAATGGTGCTGGTGACAGTGGCTATCCAGGTATGGTGATGAAGACGGTGATGGTGATGTGAGGGTGGTCATGCTGACGGTGGGGATGGTGACGACAGTGGTTATCAGGATACAGTGATGAAGAAGATGGTGATAATTATAATGACAGCGATGGTGATGGTGTAATGGTGACAGTAAAGATGGTGGTGATGGTGATGGTGATGATGATGATGATGGTGGTGGTGATGGTGGTGATGGTGATGGTGATGATGATGGTGATGGTGGTGGTGATGGTGGTGATGGTGGTGATGGTGATGGTGATGGTGTAATGGTGACAGTAAAGATGGTGGTGATGGTGGAGATGGTGATGATGATGGTGATGGTGGTAGTGATGGTGGTGATGGTGGTGATGATGATGGTGATGGTGGTGGTGATGGTGGTGATGATGGTGGTGATGGTGGTGATGGTGATGGTGGTGGT